ACCTGACAAAACCTCTGCAGGCTCAGACTTCTGCCTTGGGGTCTTCATGAGCCTCTTGATATCTGACAAAACCTCTTCTGGTTCTGACCTTTGCTCAGGGGTCCTTAAAATCATCCTTTTGCTTGACATGACCTCAACTGGCTCCAACTTCTGCTTTGGAGTCCTTCTTTTACTTCCTGACTTCACCAGAGATGTTGTTTTTTCTGGAATTATTGCCAAACTATCCACATTATCTTCGTGCACAGATTTTCTTTTTTCAGGAGTTTTTGTGGCTATTTCATCAAACATAGATGGAGATGACTCCTCTCTCAGAAAACAGAGTATGCCTGGAGTCTCTTGCTTCTGCTCTGAAGCATCTGAATTATTTAATGGTGACACCATCATCTCTCCTGAAATAAGCAGCAGATTTCCGTCATTTGGAAAATAAGCAGAAAATCCAAGCATTTTAATTGCTGTATAAAAAAAAATAAATTTAAATATAGCCTTCTAGAAAACAAAATCCAAGTATGTGCATTCAGTGTCTGAAGCAACTTGTCAGCAGTCTGAAGTTCCATACCAAATAGAATGAATAATAAAATATCTTATTCAGAAATTAATTGGAACTACCTGATGGTATTCAATGGCTCCTTCCATGAATTGCTGCATGCTTCACCTCAGTTAAGTATGCCTAGGCTGAGACACTGCTAACCTATAATAAACCTAAATATTCTTTTTTTTTAAATACCAAACCTACCAGATTCCTCAGGAGTGTGCAAGTCAGAAATATCCCCTGCAGCCCACGGTGGTGTAAAATCAGCATTCTGAGCAGCAGCCAAAGGAAATGTTCTTTCTCCCTGATTTTCTGGAGTTTGGAGCATTTCAGGCATTCCTAGAAATTATAGTTGGAAAAATAAGCAAATGTTTTGACAAAAGAACTGCACAGTGAGCAGATGAAGCAGCAGATTTTAAAATCTCACCTGTGAAGCTTTCATCCATATCCATGTTGAGCTTCAGCCTGGGATTTTTTACCACTTTGGGGACATGTCCAGCTGACCTGACTCTGGTGGAATAAGCTTTACCTACAACTATGGTAGCAGGTGACTCTGCATGACCTGTGCTGAAGTGATCTTTTATCTTCTTCTCTGGAGTCTGCAGAGAGAAAAGAATAAAAGAAGAATAAAAAGAATTGTTAAGCAAAGAATCATGGTGGAAGAGGTGGCCAAGCTCTTTCCATAATTCATCACCAGTCATGGTTAACTGGGAGGCTCCAGAAGAATGGAGGATGTCCAGTGCCCACGAGGGTTGGAAGGCCCAGCCAGCCTGAGTTTAGGAAAGGCAGATCCTGCCTGATTTTTATGATCAGAGGTTGGACTCCAAGATCTTGGAGGTCTTTTCCAGCCTCATTAATTCCTTTTGTACAAACCTCCATTTCCCACGTGGTGTGAGAGACATCAGCTCCCAATACACATCATAACAAGAGCTCAGCTTCTCCATCAAAATCCATCCAAGCTGCTTGGTGGGTATGCAAGGAAATAAAACAAAGAAACATAAAAAGAAAAGGAATACCTTTGGTGGGTGGTTGATCCTCTTCAGGGCTCTTCCTTTACAGACATTCTTTTTAACAGTCCTTGACTGTGGTCTTGGAACTCCCAATTTTACCACTTCTGCCCAAGATTTTGCAACTAGAAGAAAATGAGAAAGAACCACTTTAATTCTCAGCTGTGTAAATGGAAGTTCACAATTATTTCTTTATGATTCCAATACATTTTCTGCAGTCTGGCAGAGGAAAGTGGTTGTTATTATCTGATAACACCTGAAGTGTTATAGTCTCAATTTGAAAATCCAATTTCAGCTGAAGTTTAAGAAGAGTCCAAGCACCCAGTGTGGCATCCCCCACCAGAACAATGAGCTTCACACATTGTCAACCACAGCTCAGATCCTGCAACTGGACACTGACTCAATTCCTTCCTCTCTCTTTTGGAAGAAATTAATTTTTCCCAACAGAAACTCGCCATGAGCCTTTTCAGCCTCGTTCATTACAGATCAGCTTTCCTCCGGTGAGATTTAACAGAAGAGAAATTGTTTCCAAGTGAAATTTCTTTCACCTTCCTGAGGAATTTCAGTCAGGAAAACCATTTATTTATCCTGCATTTTACACAGACTTCCCATGATTTTTCTTGTGTCACAATCCCAAAATTCCCAAAGCAAGGTTACCTTCATCACATCATTCTGTACACAGCAGTGGGAGCAGGGAATTACAGCTGTGGAATAAATGAAGTTGTAGGACACCTGCCCTGTTTACTTCAGGAAAAAAAAGCTATCAGAACACAGAGATCATATTAAAAAATGATTTTTAAAAAACAGAGATAAAAAGGGGAATGCTGTTCCTAAAGAAAAGGATGTTGTTACTCTCTTGTCAGAATTGCTATGTCAGTCTGTAAATAAAAAGAACTTTGAAGAACTGACATTGCCAAGGTTTGCAAGATGCAGAGAAAAATGCCAAGCATCCAGGAAATTATCTGAAAAAGCACTGCACACAGTTTTATTTTGGATCTGAAATTTTTAAGAGCTGTGATGTTCTTTTCATATTAAAGAAGGAATTGATGCAGTGATATTAAAAAGCACATTTCAAAGAGGTGGTGAGAAATGGAATGCCACTGGTATTTGTCAAGAGCTCTGCTGCCATTAAAATGGACAGAATAATAAAGGAATAAAAATTCCTGGGTGAATGGGGAATTTGACTTTGTCAAACTGATTTAACTGATGAAAACAGGTGACAAATACACCCTACTTCAAAGTTTACTCAAAAGTCAAAACTTGAACCAGAACTCCCCTATTACAGCTTCCAATCCTGTCAAAACTATTTCAAATCAGTGCTCAACACTGGGAATTTTGAAGATTTGAAGGGAACACCCAGTTATGATCCTATTTTTTATCTCTATCAGTTATGTACCACTTTGAGGGGTTAAATACATCCCAGCTCCTGGACAAATTTTGGGAGCCTTGTATAAAAATAAGGCACAAAATAACCCAAGTGAAGCTGCATTGCTATAAAATGTTAAGTTTTTCAAAACAAAACTGATGTGATAAACCTGGTTTAGTTTAACACTACTTCAGCGTGACAGATTTTAAAGATCAAAACTCTAATCTTGCAAAGAGAGTGTCAATTTTTCCATTTTTAACTTCTGAACATTAATATTTGTCTTTAAATGAGTTTATAGAGGCTTTAAAAAATTTGCTTTATGAATGAGAAAACGCAGCACTTGGCACTTCCAAGAAACCCAGCACATTTCAGAAGATCCACCGATTATTTGGTGGCCTCTGCATAACAAAACAGGATCTTTTCCAGTTTGGTTCATGCATTTTAAAGCATGAAATTGAATATTAAAAATGAACTGATTGAAACCAACCTAATAAATTGGCACTGGAGGCTCCACTTCTCCTCTTGGCACTGAGAGCAGCCACAGCCCCACCTCTGCTCTTCCTGGCAGAGCCCTTCAAACCCAGCTGGCCACCTCTGGCTGACCTGACAGGTGTCACTGTCACCAAGGCTTTGGCATCTTGGGGAGCAGGAGAAGGTTTTGGTGTTTTCCCCTGGACACCACTGCTCCCCTCTGGCTGCAGGTCTTCATCCTTCTCCTCTGCAATTGGCAACGGTGTGGGGGGCTGGGAGATGGAGAAACGCCCTCTCCTGAAAGGGGCTGGAGAGCCTGAAGGGATTTTGGGTGTTGCCTTCCCTGAGACAAGGGATGAGGCTCCTGGGGACTGCTGGGCTGGGGAGTTTTTGGGTGATCTTTTTTCTTCCTGGTAAAAAAAAAATATTACACATTAGTGAATGGAGGATATTTCCTTCTTTTTACTGATGTGATCTGTCCAGGCAAACCCTGCCTGGGACTTGGATTTTACTTGATCAGGAATGATACAGAAAATGATTCATCAACTATTGATCAAGTCTGGCAGGAGGATTTACCTTACTTTGGATCCTTCCCCTTTATCCATCCCCAGCTATCAATTAAATCGTTTTATGTCAACTTTAGTTTCAGATTGATTGATTTTGTATCTATAGCTCGATTTTTCCTTGTGTGTTTTACCCATCCAGTAAGCAGCAGAGTGACCTTGCCAATGAACTTGGTCGTACTTTCACTTTTTAATAAACCTGTTTTTGCTGATGACTCTTTGAGCATCCCAAAACACTCCTGAGTTGATACCAGCATACATCACACAAGGTTTACTACTAATTTTGAATGAATAAATCATAGAATAAATACATATATAATAAAATTTACAAATTCTGATCACAGTAATAGGCTTAGCAACTTGAACACTGCTAACATTTACCTGATCTATCAAGTGCTTCAAGCCCTGAGCCTTTTTGAGCACAGCCCGAGGGGAGTTTCCATAGGGTGAACTCGGCCTGGCAGGGAGAGCTCCTTTCTTCAGGGGAGAGTTGGGAGGCAAACTTTTATCAAAGAGTTCTGGACTCAGATGGCCACCAAAAGACACTCTCTTCCTTTTGCCTGAAGTCTGAGGGAGTGTTTCACCACTTTTCCTCTTCTGAGAGACTCTTTTTGTCTTGCCTGAAAAGAACAATTGAAACGATTTTTAGATATCCAAGAATCCAAGACAGCATTTTTAACCTTTCCTTGTGCATTTCAAAGTTGGAAACAAACTCAAAGGAACTTACCATAAAGGGAAATAGATTAAATCCAGGATATTTTATACATATTGTGCATTGTTAAGGACAAATGCAACGCCATGATAAATATTTTACAGTTAGTGTCAGTCATGTCACGTTTTATCCAAGCAGAATTCTTAGAAAAGCGCTACAGAATTTTTCTAATACAAAATACAAGGCAGGGGATCCAATGTATTTACCTGAGTCTTGTCCATGCAGGAGGCCAACAGCTTTGGTTTCTGAGGCAGGCTCAGTGTCTCTCAGCTCAGCAGCACTTCCAGGAGATCTTCTCTTGGCTGATGGTCTCCGAGGTGTTGCAGCACTGGCCTCTTCCAAACCCTGGCTTTGGTGACACGTGTCCATGGCCAGCTCTGCTGGAGTTCCACTGGCTTTTCTGCCTGAACTGGGATGTTCCTGAGCTGTGTTTGTCTCCACTGCTGCTTCACCCAACACTCCAGGGGTCCTTGGCCTTCCCCTCTTCCTTCCAGGTGTCTGAGCAGCAGGAGATGCCAACATCCCTTCTGAAGCCAATGCCTCTGCATGGGCACTTTTGTCCAAGAATTCTTTACTTTCCCTGCTCTTTCTTCTGGGACTCTTGGACTTAGAGAGAGAGGCAGGGGTTTCACAACCTCCCACCTTCAAGTTACGCAGGTTTGCCTGATCCCAGATTTCTTTCAGCACTTCTTGGACAGGTTTTGTTGGTGTTTGTTGTTTGCTGCTTCGTCTTTGCTTTAAGCTTTTGTCTTCTGGCAAAGGCAGCTGTGTGTTATCAATTCTGCACACTGAATCTTCCCTTGGAGCTCCAGCTGGGATTTCTGGAAGTGACTTCAGTTTTCCTGACCCACGCCGTGGGGTCCTTGGAGTATCAGCATTTCCAGGATTCATTCCAGTGCTTTCTTTGGGAGGTGACACAAAAAGAGACCGAGGGCTCTTCCTCCTGGTTGTTGGTGTGCTCAGCACACCTTTACCTCCTTCAGCACCACTGAGGGTGGCCATTGTGGGGCTGCACGTTATCCCCGTCATTGGACACTCCATCCTTTCTATGCAGCACTGATCCACCAGAAACTGGGAATTCTTGTGGTTCTCCTTGCTGGGTCTGGGTGTAGCTGCAGTGCCTTGGGATCTGCCTGGTGTCCTGAATCTTTCAGGATCCCGCAGTAGATTCTGACCAGTATATTTTAACACTTCCTTTGAAATGAGATTTTGAAGCCTCTTGGGTAAACTCCTCCTGTAAATTCTTCCTCCACCTGACAGCCGTTTAACCCCTGAGCTGTCTTCTATTTCTCTTCTCACAATGTAACATTCTTCAACTGTGTCTGTTTCATTACTTTTACTCAGGCTGCTCACATCAAAAAAACTACCCAGGGATGAAATGGGAGGACTTGGCTCTGGCAGAACCTTCCCAGGCTCTTCTTTTGCAGTTCCCTTGCGCAGAGAATTTTCTGCTTTCAGCTCCTTTTTCAGATTTTCATAGAGTTTACTAAAGGGAGACATTTCATTTTGCTTTTTAAGCAGATGATGCATTCTCTGTGAAGATTTGGGTGTTTGGAATTTGACAGGGAAAACTCTAGGAGAATTTTTCTCTGGAGTTTTTTGCTTTTCATTGGCATTTTTTTCTTCACACTCAGCATTATCTACAAAGAAAGTAAAGCAAAACAAAAATACAGACGCAGAGTTATTTCAAAACTGCAGAACTACAAATTTAAGTTCCATAAATGCAGATTAAAAATTCCTTATTTTCCCTCCCAAGAGGGAAGATCCTGGTCAGCAAAGATCTTCCTGATCAACCAGGATCTACTGAAATGGAACACTTGGAAGCAGCTGGGACTTTTTGCATTGGAACAAAAATCTGTCAGAAATGACAATAAAGAGCATTCTCTGAAAATCAGGATTATTTAAGACAAGAGGGATGGGAAGGTGAAGTTCTGACATTTAACCAGTCCATGGGTTATAACTACCCAGAATTACCAGTTCTGGGTTTTTCTGGTTCTACAGTAAACAGTTCCTGTAAACAATTATTTCAATATATACCTCCAAAATTCTACTTGTTTCAATTTTTTATTAGGAAAGAATGAATGAGACAATGAATATTTGCTTTAAAAAGGTGTAGCTGTAGGTCAGCAGAGCAGTTCAAGTTCAATTTTCATGTCAAAAGTGAATTCACAGCATTTAAACATATGATGAGATAATCTCTGACACAGCAAGGTGTACTCAGATTGCAAAGTCTTAAAATGCCTTTTTCCCCCTCTTTTAACTTTAATTCTAATGCTAACAATAAATGCAGTTCAGGGGAACCCTCATAAAACAGGTACCAACCTGAGACATCCAGACTTTTAGCTCCTGAAGATTGTTTGTGTAATAATTCCACTTCTGCCACCTGCTGAACATGAAGAACCTGTAAATTTGTACAACATTACAGCAGAGCAACAAATATTTTACACTTCAGCTTTCAATTCTACATTAAAAAAAAAAACTATTTATAAGAGAATATGCATCGTCCCTAAATAACCTTTAAAGTATTCAAATTAAATCCTTGAACTTTTCAATATTTAACATTGGCCAATACATTTGAGGCCCTAGAGAGAACTTTATCTTGTTTGATCATTTAAATTCTGAGCTGTCAAAGCCAAGTAAAATAGGAATAAAAACACTTGAACCTCCCCTTCTTACCAAATCCAGTGGAAGATTTATAGCTCTGTTTTGGTAATACCATGAATTATTAACTATCTGTAACCAGCAAGTGACAATTTTTTAAATTAAAATTAAGACTAAAAATTAGTAAATTTTTAAAAGTATTTATCTCAAAGAGTTTATTCGTACTTTCAGACAGAAAGCAGTTTCAGGCTGAAAAGTCACTTTTAATAAGAAAACAGAACAAGGACACAGAAAACCAATATATTTGTAAAGAAAAAGGCCACAGGCACAAAATTACCTGCAGAGTTTCATCTTTTGGAGACCTGGAATGCCTCTTTTTAGAAGCTGATTGCGGAGGATATTCAAACCTGAAAGAAATATTTTAAAATACCATTTTTTTGTCAAATAATTGATGATTAAATTCCTCTTATTAATAGGAATGACCTAGGAATAGTTGTCTCCTCCCAACAATGCATAGATCTCCATTTGAAAGGCTTTAGCTACTTAAAACCACTTTTAATTTCTCCCTAAAACTGATAACTCTTGAAACAAAATCAGAACGATTTCTTTAAACAATTCCATCTTTATTGATTTCGCTTAATATAAAATAAGCGACAAAAAGATAACTTTAAGCAATCCTGCCTTCTGATGAAGTCCTTGTAGAGAAATCTGAACTAAACTTCATTAACTTCCACTTCAGAATGAAATAATTAAGGAGTTCAGACCGTGGCACTCACCTGAAAGAACGATCAATGATGGTTAAAACATCTCCATGCTTCAGGAGAACAGGCTGCTCAAAGCAAGCCCCGTTCAGCTGCGTGGGGTTCACTGTGCTCAAATTAATCAGCACTGCCTGCAAACCGAACAAAAAAAAAAAAAAAAAAAAAAAAAAAAAAAACTTTAGTGACCTGGTGAGATGCAAGGAGGCAATTCACATTTCAGTGAAACATCAGCATTTCACCTCCTTGTTCTCGTTGATCTCGATTTTGCAGTGCTCGCTGGACACCCAGGGCAGCCGCATGCGGATGTCACATTCTGTTTTCCTGGGGGAAAAAAAAAAAACAAACCACACGTTCAGTTTCACATAAAACACGTGGAAATCTGCTGGAGAATTAGGGCGTTTCTTAAAATTTTAGTTAGTAATGGTAGAGAAGTATGATGTCTCTAATTTGAAGAAAATTTAACTACCTAAGTCTTTTTAAACTGGCAAAAAAAAATAGCAGCTCACAATCCTCCAGTATCAAAGAAGTGAGATCAGAAAAATGGTGAAACACCCAAACTGTGAAAAAAGCAGATCATGACAAGCTGAGACATGGCTACAGCACAGCTGCTGCTGGGGGATCACTTGCTGCCAGAGTTTCCTGAGACTTGTGCAATATTTTTAGACAAAATGAACTGTTCAAGTCATTTTCAGGCTTACATTTCTGATTTGAGACAGCAAACAAGTCACTGGACCCTTGGTGTCACCTGCAGAACCACTTCTACCTTCTGAAAAGTTACTGGTGAGTTAAAACACGTTTATAAATGCAGACTTTTCCTTTCTGTCTTTTTATTAAGCTAATCTCTAATGCTTTTAATTTGCTGTTGGTCTTACCACTTTAAAATCCCTTCTCCTGATTTCCTGTGGCCAGACACTTAAAAAATCAATCAATCAATCAATCAATCAATCAATCAATCAATCAATCAATAACAGCAGTTCTGGGAAGGAAAAAAAGCAGTAACAAAATAAAGTTCAGCTTTCTACTCTTACATTAATCTTAGTGCAGGATCACCTTTCCTTCTCTGTATATTATTCCTCAACAAACATTTATTTTTGTAAATAAGCACTAAAAGACATGATCTGCAGGAAAACACTCATTATTTCAATGTGTGAAAGCAAATTCTCACCTTCCAAATAAACAAGAAGTTGAGGTGAGTGGAAAAACAATTCCATCAGTCCCATTCCTTTTAATGACAACGATTGTCCCGTAGCGTGGCATCTTCAAATGTAAGAATCCTTACCTATAAAAAACACCCAGATTACTCACCCTAATTATGATTTACATGTTTAGGACACTAAATTGATGTGAATTTTTATGATCTTATTTTGTTCCAGAGATGAGATATTTTCGAATGGACAGCAGAGGAATTCAGTGCTGTTTACATGTGTTTCATTGTGTAAAAAGACTGGAAACGTCTTTATATCAATTGTCAGACTAATTTTGGTATTCAGGTTTTTGTTACCCATGAAAACACCGGAAAGGTTCAGGAGCAACAGAGATTTTGTCCCATAAACAGCTTAAAAACTCGCTTCTCCTCACTAAATCCGAATCTTTCAATCTCTTACCTAGCTGGAAATTCTCAGATCTGAATTTAAAATAGACAGCAACTGATTGTAGCTCTATCCTGCTGGAAAAGGAGGGGACAGTGGCATCAGCGCCCAGGAGCAGTGGCAGAACAGCAGGGAAAGGGCTGGAAATTGGGCAGCTCCTGAACAGATCACGACAGGAGGAGAACAGCACTGAACTGACACAAAAACCCCGAACCCACAGCACAACCGGCTACTTTTAATATATATTCACATAACGCACTGTTTAATGTATAAATGCGATGATTACAAGCCATCCTCATATAAGTATCTTTAATAGCAGCAAGGTAAAACAAGGGAATTAAAGGCAGTTAAAGAGAACCTCTTATGGAATTTCTCAGCGGGTTTCATGCGATAAAACATTTGTTGACAAGAAGACACAAAGTGTAGGGGAAGCCGGCAGTCCCTCCGGATTTCAGAGAACGCAAACACTCGGTGTCCTGCACCGAGAGGAGCCTGCCCACAGCACCCACCAGCTCCGACAAGCCAAAAAAAGCCACCGAAACTGAAATTTATAACCCAGCGCTTCAGGCGGTCACAGGCCGGGTAAACACCGGGAGAGAAGCGGGCAACAGCCACCATGGCAGGGGGCCAGAGCCGCAACAAGGGGGCAAGGCGGCCACAGAAACGGGGCGTCAGGCGGCCCAATTGCTCCTCGCGGCACCCCAAAGCCGCGTCCCCCCGGCCCTGCCGCCCTCCCCGGCCCCGCTGACCGCCCGTACCTGGCTCAGCCGGAGCGCTGAAGGGCCCCGTGTGGCGGCGTCCGACGCGCCCCCCCCGCGCTCCCGGCACGGCGCGGCGCCGACTGAGCGCTTCCCGCGCGCGCGCGCCGACCCCCGAGCCTTCGCACTGCGAGCCCCACCTTCCGCCCCGGCGTATCCCTCCGCCAGGCACTAACACGGAACCCACAGGAAAACGCGCAGACGGACGGACCGGGAGCCGCCGCCACCGCAGCGCCTGCCCGCAGCAGCCACGGCTGCGGGACAGCACCGAGCCCGCCCTGCCGCAACAAGCGGCACCGACCGGAGGGACTCTTTTAGCTTTACCCTGTGCCGCCTCGGCGGAAGGAGAAACCGCCGCACTGAGATGACCGTTGAACATTCGAAAAGGGGCGCGTCGGCCTCTGATTGGCGGAGGGGGCGGCGCGCGGCGGGCAGCGGAGCCAATGGGGAGCGGCGAGGGCGGTTTGAGTTCAAACGGAGGCGCCGCCCGGGAACCGCAGCGGGACCGGACACGGAGCGGCCTCCGAGCCTGTGCGTGTACCTCTACCTCTACCTGTGCCTGTGCCACAGCCTGAACCTCTACCTGTGCTACAGCCTGAACCTGTACCTGTGCCTGTGCCACAGCCTGAACCTGTACCTGTGCTACAGCCTGGAGCTGTACCCGTACCTGTGCTACAGCCTGAACCTGTACCTGTGCCACAGCCTGGAGCTGTACCTGTGCCACAGCCTGAACCTGTACCTGTACCTGTGCCACAGCCTGAACCTGTACCTGTGCTACAGCCTGAACCTGTACCTGTGCTACAGCCTGAACCTGTACCTGTGCCTGTGCTACAGCCTGGAACTGTACCTATATCACAGCCTGAATCTGTACCTGTGCCACAGCCTGGAGCTGTACCTGTACCTGTGCTACAGCCTGGAGCTGTACCTGTGCCACAGCCTGAACCTGTACCTGTGCCACAGCCTGGAGCTGTACCTGTGCCCTGTCCCAAACTTGGATCTGTACCTGTACCACATACTGAACTTGTACCTGGATCTGTACCTGTGCCCCGTTCTGAATCTGGATCTGTACCTGTGCCTGAACCTGTGCTTGTACCTGTGCCCCTACCTGAACCTGTACTTGGCTCTGTATCTGTGCCCCAACCTGAACCTTTTCCTGAACCTGTATCTGTGCCCAAGCCTGTGCTTGTACCTCTGCCTGTATCTGTACATAAACCTCTACCTGTACCTGAATCTGAACCTGTACATGAGCCTGTGCTTGTACCTGTACCTGTGTCTATACCTGTGAATCTGTATCTAAACCTGTGCTGTACCTGTGCCTGAATGTGTGCATGAACCTCTACCTGCACATGTACCTGGATCTGTACCCATTACAGTACCTGTGCTCACACCTGGATCTGTACCTGAACCTTTGTCCATTCCTGCACCTGAATCTGTACCTATACCCATATCTGTACTTGAACCTTTATCTAGATCTGTATCTGAACCTAAACCTGTTCCCAAACCTGAACCTACACCTGAACCTGAACTTGTACCTGAACCTTTGTCCATTCCTGCACCTGAATCTGGACCTGTGCCCATATCTGTACTTTAACATTTATCTAGATCTGTATCTGAACCTAAACCTAAACCTGTGCCTATACCTGAACCTGTCCAGGTCCTCTGAGCGAGGAGGACTTGCAGGGTCCCAAATTTGCACCTCCTCAGATCAGCAAAAAGCACCCAGATTCATTTTTTATCAATTCAGCTTCACTTAGGCTCTATAAAGTGATTTAAACATCTGTATTTAATCTGATTAAAATACTACTAGCCACAAAAATACTATTAACCACAGCAGTAAGGGGGAGAAAAATAAAGAGAGCAAGGATAGGAGGGGGTGAGCAGCAATAAGAGTTAAATTAGTGTTTTAATCAGCAAATTCGTTACCTTCATTTAGATATAAAACTGATCCCCATCTCTGCTCCCAAACAGGAATTCATTACTGAAACTCCAATTTGAGGATCTGTGAGAGCAAGAATCAACATGAACACGGTGTTGCTCTGTGAAGACAGAAAAAAAAAATAATAACAACAACAAGAAAAATATATTATTGAGTTATGAAATGTGACCTTCATTCCAAGCCTGATGCTTGGGAAAGGGATACAGGACAAGGTCATCCAGCCTTTTGTGCTTCAGGGGATAAAATTCTACTATTCACATCTTTTACAAAGCAGAACTTTTGATTTTACTCCTGTTTTATTATCTGGCTTGCCTCAAAGACTATTTTATGTGGTGTGATGACTTTAGATGTGATACAGTTAGATGTAAGCAGCTTTTAAAATGTTATTTCTTTTCAATTAAATAACTTTGAAGTCTGTTCTGTAAGCTTTGGTGGGCCTTTAGTTCAGATTATTATTAATATTATTATTATTATTTTGCAATAGCTGTTGTGCTACTGGACAATCATTAATTTAGATGTAAATCATACCAGAATCAGGATTACATTTGCTTTATAATTGAGTATCATTGCTAATTAACAGGTATTAAAAAAGTCCTTCCTGGGGGTCCTGAGTGATGGAACTCAAAGAATTTATAGCAGGAAAACCTCTTAGAAATTGAATTTATTGCAGGCTCTGCCAGCCCACATGTGATCAAACAGCAGAAATAAATAAATACACCTGCACCGTGGCAATAATTGTATTTTCTGGCATGATTTACAGTGGTGTCACAGCTTTTGTGATGTGCATTACTTAGAGGAAAACACAAATTATAACAAAGGTTTTCAATCTGTCTCCAAGAGCAGCTCTCTGAAACAGCATCTGTGCAAATATTTGCTGAAGTAGATTTACAGGAGGGGGAAAAAAAAAAACAAAAAAAAAAGATATTTTCTTCAAGGTTTAAATTTGCTGGTAGGTTAATTTGGAAACATTTAATTTCGACAAATACACCATGAAGTAAAATTGTCAACTGTCAAAACTGAGGAGAAAAATAAAGTCAGTGCTTGAAACTCCTTGATAGAAAATTTTAAAACCAGCATTTAATTTATCACATGAAGAGCTTCACACAGAGTTATTTATTCAGGTGGTTTGGAACTGATTGAAGCTCTTTTCTCACAGATTTCTACTGTCAGTGGTTTTTACTTTCAAAAGCACAAATTCTGGTTAAAGAATTCCCTAAATTAGGGCTTTTGTAAGGTATAAAGTAAATAAATAAATATTCAGGCTATTCACACTGTGTAAAGCCAAGTGCAGACATGAGAAGTCCTATGATTAACCCTGAAAATTCAAAGTTTTGCAACAAATTTCTCTCTTAAAATCATATTTTATTATGCTGACACGGTATTGCACCCAGGATTTTTGGAGTGCTTGTGTTCATGCACAGAACCTGATTTTGAGAAAGGATTTTGCATAAATTTATGCATAAATCTGCATAAATTTAGGAAAAAATGGGATGTTTCCAAATTTTATCTATCCACACTTAACAAATACTTTGAAATAACTAATTTACCTTAAATGGTGAAAGAACAAACTATTAAGGGAAAAACTTTTTAATGTGATGGACACACTGATATTTTTAAATCAAATCTGTATTTTAAGTAATCCAAAATTAATCTGGAAAAGCTTTCCAATTGTCCTTCAAAGCCATTGGGAAGAACAACTGGGAAGCAAAAGACACAATGTCCCAGTGCAGTAGGTCAGGTTTAAAATGCAAATTAAAACTTTGCAGTGTGTTCTGGGGGTTTTCCAATTCCAAAAAAAAATGACAAAACCATCCCTGAGGATGATGGAATCCAACTCCTGGCCCCCAAGACTCCCACCCTGTGCCCAATCTGGGAATGAAATCCTCAATCCAGGAAGTTTTGCCATCAGCAGGTCACTTTTAATCCCAAAGGTGACCATAAGAAAGATTTTGCATCCCCCAGCCAGTCCTTTTGGACAGCTGAGGTAGAAATTTGTACATTTTATTGAGACTGGGGCAAGATTCCCCTGGATTAATCAAATTAACAAATTCTAGAGTTCCATAATTCCCATGCATACTTACAAACAAGGGAGGAGAACAATTCCATGGGCTGCTTCCTTGGAAACAGCTTCTGTTGGATCCATAGGCTGCCACAGGAATCATAAAATCATGGAAAAGTTTGAGTTTTGGGACCTTAAAACTCACCCAGTTCAACTTTCCTGTCCCAGGCTGTTCCCTTCAGGTTTTGGAAAGACAAAAATTCTCTATTAAAATCCCCACCTTGCTCATTAATTCCTTCTCAAGCTCTTCCCACCTGGGAGAGTTTTCCTGGCTTTTTTTTGTCCACCCAACTGGTGACAATTCCCACCTTGGATCTTTTATTCTGTGTTTATGGATAGTTAAGAGTTCAGGAAAATTCAGGGAAATGCTGGAGCAGTTTCTCATGCAATGGAAACAGGTGAAAGGAGAAAAGGATCTTTGGCAAAATGTCAACTCGATTAATGACTGAATAATTCCCCTCCTCTGTGCAAAGCAGCACAGAAAATGGATAAAAGTCATTAGAAGGAAGCTCTCACCCAAAGATCTAAATTACATCCTAATCCTTTAATTCCTCAGATGAAGAATACTCCCCGGGAAGTTCAGTGGCCTGGAAAATTCTCAATTCAACAATTTCTGCATCAGGCAAAACAGAGCTTGACATTTGTACAGAGCAAGCACCTCTCTGATCTGCCTTAGTTTATATTGTTTAAATATCCCATTAAAATAAATCTATTTCATGGGCACTTTACAATTAAAGTGTATTTTTTTCTCCTAAAAGTTGAGTTTCTTAAAAAAAACAGATAAAGAACCAGAAGGTTTTTATGGTATCTTTTTGTAATGTTTAAAAGTAGGAAAAAAACCAACTGTATCACCAGTAGAGTATAGAAATATCCATGTTTGCTGTGTGATCTACAATTACAATTATAGATATTTGTTTAAATTAACCAACAATTAATTAATAACTGATAAATATTAGAGATTCTTCTGGTTTTTGAGACCACACCAAGGCCTGTCCTCACACACAGTTACCTTCCAGGAGTCACACAAGCTCCATGAAAATACATGAAAATCACACAAAATATTTTATCAACTCCTCTGGAATAATTTAAAAAATTAAACCAGCTTTTAAAATAACAGATTTTGCATGTAAAAAAGAGTCAATCAGAGACTGGTTAAGTTTGGAAAAAAATCACCAAATCCAACCATCAGCCAGTTCCCACTACCCCATGTCCTCAATGCCACATCCACACATTTTTTTAACCCTTCCAAGGATGGGGGTTCCACCACTGCCTCAGGCCTTTCTGCAACCCTTTAAAACCCTTCCCATGAAGAAATTTTCATTTCCAAACCTCCCCTGGCACAATTTGAGACCATTTCCCTTCACCCTGCAAATATCAGAGCAGTGCCCAGGAAGGACATGCAGAAAAGTTTTTCCTAACAACCGTGAGGAGAAAAAAAAAAAAAAATCCTAAAAATTACCCACCCTGAAGAGGCATCTCCAAAAATCCTAAAAATTACCCACCCTGAAGAGGCATCTCCAAAAATCCTAAAAATTACCCACCCTGAAGAGGCATCTCCCAAATGGAGCCAGAAAAGGGGTCAAACAGAAACCAGGCTTCGTGAAATCCTATTGGATTTGACATTAGGATGTAACCCCTGAGCAGTTCCTCCTGTTTTACACAAACCTCCTCCCTCTTCTTGGCTCATTTTAGCAAGATGTCCAATGCAAAACTTGTCAAAATGAATTAAGAAATCGCTGTTAATTAAAGTAAACTTTCAATTCACAATTGGTGACACAGCTTAGATCTTATTTTTATCTTGGTATGGTACCACAGGATTATTTTACTATATTTACTTGATTTTACTTCATTTTTTTCCATCAGCTCTTACTTATCCAGACATTTTGGGAAGACCTGGATTCCAACTGCTTCCATGAGTTTCTACACCCTTTACATGCACAATGTTCAGCCCCAAAATAAATCAGAATTTTAGTCCCAAACAGCTGCAGATAAGCACTGAAAAATTACTTATCTAGATAATGGATTTCAACTCCTTTAGAATGCTTAATTCAAATGAACACACAACACAGGAATGAAATTAAAAGATTTAAAGGAAATAATGCAGGTGGAGAATAAAAAGGAAGCTTTGTTCTTGCATCAGGATGTATTAGATTTTGCAATTTGCATATACAAATAATTCAGCCACGTTCACCGGCATTAAAAACACAGCAAGATCAAATTAGAAACGTAAGAAAAAGAAAAGAACCAGAGCTGAAACTGTATAATACATACATATATTATAAAGATTTGACAAATTAAATACATTTTGGTTATACACAAAAGTTCCAGTAACTTTACATGAAAAACGGGACGGGGGGGGAAACGCAAACATTTCAAAAGACTGAACGCGGGGGACGGTCAGGCTCATTTTAAAAGTTTAAAAAAATACATAAAAATAGCCTAAAAAACACTGCTAATTACAGTATGCATTCTTCAATAAGGCCCAAGTCAGCCAAGCACTTTTAAGGGATTGCTTTGGGAGCAGGGAATCCACGGCATCCCATGGATTGTGGGATGAGGATGTGGGGAAGCGAACCCAAGGCTGAGCTGAGCTGGGACCTCCTGAACACATGAACAGTCCAAGTCACACAGTGACCAAAACCACAGACACATCAGAAGGACACTTCCAATCCAACTATTTGGCCTTTTAAAGGAATTCCATGCAACACACGGAGATTCAAAGGAAAATTCCAATCCAAGACATTCCCCAGAGCCCCAGCCACTGAGCACACCCAACAAAACGGGGAGCTCTTCAAATTCCACAAAAAAAAAACCCTTTTATGGAGTTACACTTGTGAATTCTGAATTACATTTCAGGCATTTTCTTTTTTCTCCTCGATACCTCAGTGTGGTTATCAACTAAAATCCGAGTACCCAGGGAGGATTTGGTGTTCCAGCTGAATTCCATCCTGTTCCAGCTGAATTCCATCCTGCTGTGGGACCCCCACACCCCATCCCTGACATTGCACTGGCATTGACCTCAGAGACCCCAAAATCTGCCCAACACACAAATTATTATTATTCAAATGTGTGCTAAATGGTCAGAAAGATCCTGACATCGGGATCATAATGTGGGAATTCCTTGATTTTCCAACCTTTCAGGGTCTCCCTGTGCTGAGACTGAACCTCATGGACAACTCCAGTTTTTATCACAGGGACTCAAAAAATCTGCCCAACAGATAAATTATTATTACTATTATTATTCAAATGCTCCCTAAATGACTGGAAATATCCTGAAATCAGGGTCATACAATGGGAATTCCTTTGCATTATTTTCCAACTTTTCAGAGTCTCCTGCACTGAGATTGACCTCATGGACAACTCACCCCAAGTTTTTCCCCCTCAGGGACCCCAAAATCTGACAAATTATTATTCAAATATGTGCTAAATGGTCAGAAAGATCCTGACATCAGGATCAGAAAATGAGAATTCCTTTACATTATTCTCCCACCTCTGGGAGTCTCCCTGTGCTATAAATCACACTGAACCCCCCCTGTATCATTTCCAGGCTGAATCGTTTGTGGCTCTTTGGATTTGGATGGAATTTCAGGACCATGCCCCTTCCTCAGCTCCACTTTCCCTACCCAACCCTGTGGCTTGAGTGTTTTCTTCTCATAGAGACTCACGAGCGAGGTTTATTCTTTCAAACCAGCTCGTTTTTCAAGTGCATAATTTACTGTACAAATAAATACAGGAAGATGAGAAAAGCCAATGGGACTGGGGGGGGGGAATTGGGTACTCAGGAATTCCTGTCCCAAACCTTTTCCAGCCAGGCTGGAATGGAAGGAGACCCAAGGACACCTTCCCATTCCCTTTGCATTGCTCCAAGGTGCAATGAGATTATTTTGGGATGGGATAAAATAGTGCAAGAAGAGCAGGGAAAAAGCTCAGTTTAAGCTGCTTGTTTGAAATAAGGCTTTGATGTTGCACGGTCAAAGCCTGGCTGGACGAGACAGAACTGTTGCATATTCGTTAATGTGATTAATTACAGATTCACCCCTTTGTGCTCATTAACTCAGAGATGCTTTTGGAAGAGTGGGAAAGTTCAACTTGGTAATTATTCAACATTCGGGTGCCCTGTGATTTTGGGGAGTTCCCAGCACCTGGTCAGGGCTGTAATAAAAACTTTTATATTTTCTCTGTCATCAATTCTAGTCTCAGTAGTACTTTCAGCAAAAATATATCTCTGTACACAACCCTAAACCCCTTATCAAAAGTCCTTTTTTGATAACATTTCTGGGAGGGTAAGAACCTGGGGGAACTTTTGCTACAACACTCAATGTTTCTGGCATTAAACTGCTTATAAAATGTTTTTTTTTACAATTTTTACCTCTTAATTATCCTGCTGAGTCAAATCAAGGAATAAGAGTTCATCTCTTATTTTAAAGAAATTATGCAGGTTTTTATAGAGAAGAGAAGCTTTTAACTCCATTTCTGGTCTTTCTCTTCAAATAGACAATTCCAGGTGCTGCAAAATATACTTTTAAAATATGCAAAATATTCTAAAAATCACATTATTGCCTAAGTTAATTTAAACAATATTTGGGGAAAAAAAACCAAATTAACAGGGCTTTGAAAGTTCTGTTAATTCATAAATTCAATCTGTATTTCTGCTGATTTTATCCTATGGACAGTGAGACTCAAAATCCAACAAAACCTGGAGGCTCTTTCAAACAGCCTGGAAAAAATAAATATCTATTTTCATGGGGAACATATTTTCCTGGTGAACAAAATATGTTTAAACATGTGCACCAAAGTTTTCTTTTTTTAGGATGAACTGTAAATCACCTGTCAAAAAATTCAAGAATTGGGAGATAACGTTGATAAATATTTATGAGTGGCAAAACAAAAAGGAAAAAAAACACCCCAATAATTAATTTTTTGTTATTTAGAATAAAGATTTCTATCCCATCTTACAGTGCTATACAGTATAGGAACATTATACTTTGCTTTAGAAGATATTTATATTTAAGAAACAACTTTATACAGCAAATGCAACTTTTAGAGCCAGCACAACATTGTATTTACAGTTCAGTCAACAATCCAAGTGACACGGAATAAATTAACATAATATACAACTCTTTATACAGACAAATTAAAAAATAAGGCAGAATTCTCATTTGAAATTAGCATAATCTGAAAAGATGTCGATGAAATCTTGTACCACTCTGTAGCAGAATTCATACTGTTCCTGGAAAACAAGGACAAAAGATGAAAATGGGGGTTTTGGTTACACTGAGAAAAACCTGAATTCTGCAAATGCCAGTGATAAATTCAACATGGCCTAACTGGGGCAGTAGCTGAGCACTGCTCTGTTCTGATTTCTGTTTATTATTTTAAATAAAAACAATGGTTCTCTGGTCAGACACAGGCTGATTGCTGCTCTTTGGTTCAGATGATTTCTTGTTCTTTTTTTTAGAGATGGCTCTTAAACTGAATCACTTCTTAGGCCTGGCTTTTGATTTAAACCCAGCTGCTCACAGCAGAAACTCCTGAGCACTGCCCAGGGATAATCAGGGAATTATAAAATCCCAGGATGGTCTGGGATGGAAAGGATCCCAAATCCCACCCAGTGTCACCCCTGCCATGGCAGGGACACCTCCCACTGTCCCAGCTGCTCCAACCCCAATGTCCAACCTGGCCTTGGGCACTGCCAGGGATCCAGGGGCAGCCACAGCAAATCTGGGAATTCCATCCCAGCTCCTCCTCACCCTCCCAGGGAGGAATTCCTTCCCAATATCCCATCCATTCCTGTCTCAGCCTGACCATGGATAACCCAATTCCATTTCTTCATCCCCTTTCTTCCTATCTGTGGGACACAGGAAATATCTCCCTGGAAAAAGGGTTTGAGCTGATTGTTTCTAAAGAGGCTTCAGATTGCTGAATGGAAGCTGCTATGGAAATCAAAAATATCAGTATTTTTGTATATTCTCAAGTTAAGAAAAGTCTGAAAAGACTTTTTTTATGTTTACTCAATAGGGAAAACCATCTGGACTAAGCTTCAAATAGTAGCTGTAGATGACTTGAAAGAAAACTTGAAATATTTTAAACAAGTCAGAGACATTCCCAAGGATTTCCACACCCCTGGCAGTGCCCAAGGCCAGTTTGGACACTGGGACTTGGAGCACCCTGGGACAGTGGGAGGTGTCCCTGCCCATGGCAGGGGTGGCACTGGGATAAGCTTTAAGGTCCTTTCCAACCTAAACCATTCCAAGATTCCAATTTATTCCCAGACATTTTAAGGTGAGAAAGAACAACATAAATAGCTTGAAAGCCATTTACTGAACAGATTTTATCACCTGAAACTAAACATATTTTGAGTGTTGAACTGCCTCAAGTTCCTAAAAGACAGAGAATATCCAACCAAGCCATATTTTTAGACAAGCTCTAAAAACCCCTGTAAAACCCCCATTACGCCTTGCACACACACATCCACCGAGCGCCATCGATGCCAACCTGCCAAAAATCCCTTGATTCTCCCCTCCCAAGAACATTTCCACCCACAACTCCCTTCCCAAAGCCTGCTAAATGCCATACCAGTGTTTGCACCATGTGTGGCCTCTGCAGCCTCAGGCTCTTGACAGCTTGGAACACGTCCAGGAGCCCCTCAGCCTTCACCCTCTCCAGGATGTTGCTCAGGGCTATGAAGGTTCCTGTCCTCCCTGCTCCAGCACTGCAATGCAAACACATCTGTTGGGCATGAAATGGGCTAGAAATGGGAAAAGAGCAATGCCAGGGGTGGGGAATAGCTGGTGTAGCTGTTGGTGTGCCTGGGTTTGGCCCTGAAATGACACCACGAGTCTGGGTAGGTTGATTTGTGAGCCTCTCCTGGTGTCTCAAGCAGGTTTTAGCCACAAGGATGCAAGCAGTGCCTAAAATCCAGGCCATCAGCTCTTTTGGGATTTTCTTCACTTGCCAAGTACCTTCTTGGCCAGCAGAGAAAGAGATTGGGAAATGCTACAGAGGAAGTTCCACAGAATCTTTCTTTCTTCTATGAAGGGGTCCCAGGGCAGCAAATCCACTGGGTAGGGTGCTAAGGGGGCTTTTGTAGGGTCAGGGTGTCTTGGAAATGGACCAATAATATTGGGGAGTCTGGAGTTAGCCAAGGGATTTTAGGTTAAAATGAACCAATTACTAGAGGAGTTGAAAAGGGACCAATTAAATCACTAAAAGATAAAAGTGGGGGTTTGCAAAGGAGGGACCCTCCAGCTTCTTACCCCCCCAGAAACATTATCCAAAAAGGACTTTTGATAAGGGATTTCGGGTTGTGTATTTTTGCTGAAAGTACTACTGAGACCAGAATCGATGGCAGAAACCTCTCGAGGCTCTCTGCCCCCCTCCACGAGGCAGGCTGAGGTGCACAGGGGGCTCACCTGCAGTGCACAGTGATGGGGTGGTTCCCTGTCTGCTGCTGCTGTTTCTGCACGGCTGCAATCAGGTCGATCATGCCCTTCCCTTCGGCAGGAATGCCGATCTCCGGCCACCCGTGGAAGTGGAACTGCCTCACCAGCCTGCTCTGCTTCTCCTGGTTGCTCTGCCAGCAGGAAAACATCCTTCAGCCACGTGGTATTCCCAGGTGGAAACACAATTCCTGCCTGGAGCATCTCTCCTGCCACAGGAGAGGATTTGCAGCCTGGTCCATAAAGTATCAAGGACCTTGTTGATTTTATTCCCAGGAATATTCCATGATTCTGTCCTGGCAGGTCTGTGTCTAAATCCCTCACCCACTCCTAATTCCCCCCTACAATTTTCCTTTGGTTTGCACAGCTGTTTCCTCTGGGAAGGGTTTAGGATACACTGGAAGTGTCCAGGGCCAGGCTGGACAGGGCTTGGAAAAAGCTGGGACAGTGGGAGGTGTCCCTGCCCATGGGAGGTGGAGTGAGATGAGTTTTAAGGTCCCTTCCAACCCAAACCAGTCTGGAATTCTGTGAAAAATCTCGAATCAAATTTTTCTTTGATACCTACGTGGGAAATGGCAGAAAAATTTGGGAATAATGGCAACAACAAAACAGTAAAAAAAAAAAAACAAACAAACAAAACCAAAACTTACTCCCCACTTTGCAACCACCTGTTTTACTGATCAGAATTTTCAGGGACTTGAAACAAAATTATTTCAAGTAATTTTTCTATTAAATATAAAATTTCATATAAATTCCTATTTCATTTCAAGCTTCCTCTCAATGCCAGCTTTTAATTAACCACATTTAAGTTTAGACAGAAATCCCAGGGTTTAAAATACATGACCAGATTTGTAAACGCCTTCTGATGGAATAATAAAAAAAAAGGTGGAATTTGAAAGAATTACCTGATTATATGTGACCAGGAAATCCCTCACACTGATGGCATCCATCAGGCTGTCACTCTTGATTTCCACCGTGATGTCTCCGTGAGTCACAGAGCCCTCTGACGGCCAGTACTGGCAGCATTTTTCCTGCAGAATCCAGGGAATTACAAACATTCCTCGATTTATTTTTCCTCCAGTTATCTATATTGTCATGAATCTCCGGTATAAGAAGTGACAACCAGCATAATAAGGGTGTTCTAAACGCTAAGAATGCAGTGATAAAATATTTCTTGAATAAAAACCAGCATGATGAAAAGGGCTCAGGAGGCCCAGATAGCAAATACTGCTTTAAAACAGAGTAGAATAATAAATGGAATTCAATAAAAAGCTTTTTACAACACTCTTGTTGAACCCAGAATTTTCCATCTGCAGCACACGACTCCTTCATTAATTAATGACATTAATGCTCGTATTTAAATCAAATAATGAATTAATTCTCATATTTAAGTCAAATTAGGACAGGCTCAGGATGAGCAATGGGAGCTTTTACTGGGATAAAAGCTCACACAAAAGTTTGCTCCCAAATCCCAAAACTCTGTCCCGTGTCAGGCTCCTTTGATACCAAGTGGAAGCTTTCAAAAAATCACAGTATTCCACAATTTTTTTGTGTTTCCTGACAATTCCAGCAAAAGCAGCAACGCTGCCCCACATCGAAGAGTGAAGCAAGTGCTCATTTTAGGAAAAGTTAAAAAATAAAATCTCAGATTACTGGAATTTTTCGGGAAAAAAATAACAATTTTTTTTTCCCCAGCGTTGATGCTCGCGGTTTGCAGGTGGGAAGGGGAAGGGGGACACGTACCTGCTCCCTCTCCTGGACCTCGGTGAGCATCACGATGGTGTGACACTTCCACTCCCACACCATCCTCCAGAAATCCTCCACCGTGTGAGGGAGGGGGCCCTGGGTGGCAATGAAATAATCCTTCTGCCGATATCCCTGCGGGAAGAGAGGGCATCACCCCGGGACAGGGACAGGGCTGCTGGCACGGGCACAAAGGGGCAAAAATTGGTCCCTTCTCTGCCCCAAGATGCACCAGGGAAGGGTAAAATTGGATTTTAGGGGGAATTTCCCCCACAAAGTGTTGTCTGTACTCAGAACAGTGAAGTCCCAAGCCCTGGAGGGATTTAAAATCCATGTGGAGGTGGCACTTGGGGACATGGAGCACTGGTGGCCCTGGCAGTGCTGGGGATGGTTGGACTCAGTGAATTTGGAGGACTTTTCCAACCTCAGCCATTCTGTGATTCTAAAATCTCCCCCCAAATTCAAAAGCCTCCAGGAGGATTTTTCCAGTCGTGGCTGAGGGGATGAGATCCTACAGGACCAGATTTGACAAGATCCTCACGACAGCAGCTGCCAGCTTTTGTCCAGAATTAACTTCTACCTCAAGTTTTGAGGTCCAGTTTTATTTCACAGAGGCTGGAAATTTATTATTTATTATTATTTCTTTTCAGTGAGGCTGGAAAAGAGCTCTGAGAGCATCCAAGTCCAACTTGTGACCCAATACCAAGGGCCACCTGCAGTCTTTCCTCATTTCCATGCAGAGGTGATCCCCATGGAATCCACAACCCTCCATCACTAACCTGGTTTTACTGCTTAAGGACATGATTAATTCTCACATTTAAACAAAAACAAGACACAATCTCGTGTTCAGTTTCCAACAGGAAGCTGGGAAGAAAGCTTGGAATTCATCCAGCTCTGCCCAACTAAAGCCTGGCTGCCAAACACTGTGACAGCTTTTCCCTGTGCTCAACACTGACTTTTCTGTTTCTCAGAAAAGCAAATATTTACACCTGTAAACCTGACCCAGCTAATGGAATCGCTGACTTTTGGTTGTGCAGCTGATTTGTTTGGTCAGAATTTAATGTTTAAATTGCATAGCTACTTAAACTGAAATTAAAAACATCAGCTAAGAAGTGCATTTGGCAACTCCCATAAACAAAGCTCGTGCTCTTTGCAAGCCAAGCTGATTGTGCTTCTTTTAAAAGATCTATCAAGAGCAGCAAAATCTCAGATTTGAAAAGGAAATGCATGAAAATGTTGTATACTTACATCTATGAAGGAAGCATTGATATAGTCTGTGTACTCCTGCCCTCTTTTCATGGACAGAATCACTCTGTTAAAATCATCTGGGAAAAAAAAAAAAAAGTCTGGGCTTAGTTTTGAGTCCAGTAAAAAAAAAGTCTAATCTTAATTTTGAGTCCAGTCTTGCTTTTACCAACTGCACATAGAAGAACAAACCCCACCAAATCTTTTCTCTGAAATGTTCCTTTTCAGGGACAAACTCTCCAGTGCTGCTCAGATGGATCACACAGAAAAAGCATGGTTTCAAAGGTGAAACTGCTGAGTTATTGAATACAAAATCCCCAATTAGAACAGATTTTAGGGTGATTTAGTAAAACCCAACTCAATGAGCTTTTTACAGATGATGACAGCTTGTAAGGGGAGCTGTGTTCTGAGCTGTGTGTGCTCCCAGCCAGGCATCTGTGACATTTTCCCTGGAGATGAGAAGCTGGGCTCTTACAGGGGATGATCTGGATGACTCTTGCTTTTTTCATGTTGGCTGGCAGGTTGCCAGTTCTCATGTTCTCCTTCATGATCCGGACGTTGGTCAGCTTCTGCAAAAAGCACACAGGAGGGGGAGGGTTGGACAAGATAAAACTGGAAAACCTTATAAACATGATTGCCTGGCAAAAGAGTTTGACAATATGGAAACTATAAGCGAGATGGAAATAAAAGCCATCTTTGAGATACCAAACAAGTAGAAAACAAGAGTATGGCCAACTGAAAATAATCCCCTTGTGACAGAACAATCCCCTCTGCTTGCAGACAGGTCCAAAGGGCAGAGAAACCCTCCTAGCATGGCAGAGGGGGTCCAAAGAGTAGTTTTTAGGGTTTAAAGTGTAACACAGCATGGTAATGTAGTGATTCTTACAGGCTGTATGTAATTGCTATGGGATTTGTATCTTGGATTGGATTGGTGAGTGAAAATTAGAATATTCAGCTCAGAAGATGATTTATTGTATTGTAACAGGAACCTCGCTCTCTTAGCTCTTACCTCTTACTTCACTCTCTTACTGCTTTGACCTCTCTTACCTTTACTCTCTTACCTCTCACCTCTTACCCCCTGCTCTCTCTTTATTTTTTCCTCTTGCCCTCCTGCTCTCACAGCCTGCTCTGAGCTGGCAGCTCCAAGCAGGGCCCTTTCACCCACGCCCTTTGCACTAAACCACAAATTCCAAAACCTGGCTTTAGAGATCTCTCCATCAATCCCAACTGTGCCCTTCCTACAGTCGAGCACACAGGGACAGGGCTGGGGCACCCAGCACATCCTGCACTCCCAGGGCTCTCCAGTGACTTTGTTGGGTTGAAAAAAAAAAAAGAAAAAAAATTTTAAAAAAAATCAGTGCCACAGTCACAGGGAGCCCGGAGCCACTGCATTGTCCTGGCTATAAAAATGAAGGAGTAACAGTCACAGAATTCCAGAATGGTTTGGGTTGGTTTAAATCCCATCCAGTGCCACCCCTGCCATGGCAGGGGACACCTCCCACTGTCCCAGGTGCTCCAACCTCACCTTGGGCACTTCCAGAGATGCAGGAGCAGCCACAGCTGCTCTGGGCATCCTGTGCCAGGGCCTCCCCACCCTCACAGCCAAAAATTCCTTCCCAATATCCCATCTAATCTTCCTTCCTTCAATACTGTTGATTTTAGAACTTGTTGCTCTATCTTCAAACTTATTTTTACAACATTTTCTTTACCTAGTTCCCAATTTCTTGTTAAATCAATCCTTTAAAGCAAAGAGAGAACTCCAGTTAACACCCAGATATCAATTAATATTTTAAACCTATACAGAAAATAAATATTCTACCATAAGGAAAATAAATTTAAAAAATCTAACTATTCCCTCAGGGAACTAAAGTAATTTTACCAATGATCACACACAGCCAGTGGTGCTTTTCTTCATCTGGGGCTTCACCACTGATAAGAAATGGTTTTTTTTGAGGGGGGGGAGTTTTGAGGTTTTTCTCCTGACAGACTGAACATCCAGCACCAGCCCAGTGAATTCCCTGCAGTTCTCCCTGCTGTCAGAGTTGCCAATCCCACTGGGATGCAGATTAGGAGAACCTCACCCAGTTTCCTCATCCAGCATTATCTGATCTGGCAACCTGCACCAAACCCAGAGAATCACTCCACTTTTATAAACAAACAAAAACATTGAGGGAAAGGCCACGGAATGACACAGCTCTGAATGAGGGAATTCGATTAAAATCTGAATTTAAGGAACAGGATGTTCAGCAAGGCTCCATTCACAACGACCACCAAATAAAACAACTTCTTCCCTTTTATGCACCTTTAAGGTTACACTTTTATCCTCTCAGCTTACATCTTGAAATCCTATGGGAAAGATTTCCTTACTTACTTTAAATTCCTCTTCCAGCCCTATTTTGACCAGGTTTGGTGCTGCATTTTGGGAAGTCTGGAGGTGTTTTTCCAGGGATGACACATCCAGCTCTGTGTCACCATAGAGGTAGTACTCGAGTAAGGCTTGGTAAATGAAGGAATATTGCATCTGGAAGGGACAGAGAGGAAGATGAAGGGAGGGAAATGAGGAATTCTGGGACTTATTTAAAAATCACTGAATGGTTTAGCTTGGAAGGGACCTTAAATCTCACCCAGAGTCACCCCAGCCATGGCAGGGACACCTCCCACTGTCCCAGCTGCTCCAACCCCAATGTCCACCCTGGCCTTGGGCACTGCCAGGGATCCAGGGGCAGCCACAGCAAATCTGGGAATTCCATCCCCAGCCCTTCCCCATCCTCCCAGGGAACAATTCCTGCCCAATATCCCATCCATCCTTGTCTTGTCACTGTTTGGTGACAATCTCCTAATCATTAAAATAACTAGAAATTATTATCTAATATTTCCACTCATATTCTCTGACATCCCACTCCTGTGTGATTGTGAAAATCTGGAAATAACTCAGAAAAATTCAGTGTTTTACAGTGGTGTCTTCTCTGCCTTTATCTTCTCCCCCACCCCACATCCTTCACTGGGCTTTGTGCATTTTTGAATGAGAGAATCCCAGAATAATTTGGGTTGGAAGGGACCTCAAAACTGATCCATCCCACCCCTGCCATGG